ACTCGATCCCAGATCCCAGGATAATGCCCTAAGCTGCTGGAGCAGATTCTCAACTGCTGAGCCACCCAGTAGTCCCACAAGTCTTCTTTCAATTTGATCTATTTAGGATGGTTAAAGGACTCTGAAGAACATGAGGTAAGAAATCCTCCAGGCAGCGGTTTAGAGCCTGCTTTGGGCCCAGGGTGTGATCCTGGAGTCTGGGGATGGAGTACCATATCCGGCTCCCTGCATGGAGCCTGCTTCTCCCTCTGCCTTGTCTCTGCCTCTCTCTCTCTGTGTCTCTCATGAATAATTAATAAAATCTTTTTAAAAAAGAAAAATCCTCCATATTCCCTCAATTGGGAATTTTAATTAACAAGTTAAACTTTTATTTTAAGTTAAATAAATATTGACACCAGATAAAATAATTACTAAACAGTAAACATGATCCATTGAGAAAATTCTAATGGGGCATAAAAGTTAATGAAGATAAATATTTTTTTCCAAAAACTAAAAGAGAATTGCAGAAGAACAAATCAAATGATTCCCCATTCTAGTCTTGAAGAGGAACTTCATAAAGAATGGGTCAACAAAGGGTTGGGGGGTGCAGCTGCCTGAGTGGCTCAGTCAGCAGAGCTTGGAACTCTTGATCTCAGGGTTATGAGTTTGAGCCCCATGTTGGGTGTAGAGATTATTTAAAAAAAAAGAAAGAAAGGAAGAAAGAATGGATCAACACAGATGTCATATATGGAGAGGTTTTGTTATTTGAACAAGCCAATGTTTGCCCCTCAAGTAAGAATGCACTGAATTGTATGGCATCAGATTTTAGAAAAAAGAAAATGTAACCAAACCAACGTGAGTTCTCTCTTTGGTGAGTCACAGATATACCAGCTGGAGTTGTTGCACAAAGTAAACTTTATTTGCAGCAAATAGGGAAATTATGGGTAATAACTTACACAGTTGTGACTCCCCTAGCAGCATTCCTTTTATTTAGGGTTAGAATGACTAGATAGAAAAGCCTTGTCACTGTATGTAGAGGCAGGCGTAAGGCCATGTATGCACCTTAAAGAAAAAAAAAAGGAAATGAGCCTGTATACGCCTTGTATGTTATGTAAATGAAGCTTGTACTCCTCTTTGTGTGGAGACGTTAGCATTATAATGAGGTAAATGTAGTTATCAGTCATTCTAGAGGTCACTCAATTGTCCACCTATGCAGGCTTGAGTCAGGGGTTAAGCACAAACTGGTCTGGGTGATCTGGGCCAGCTGGAGGTCTTGGCAGGCAATTCCATAGCTGAGAGGTGGTTTTGGTTTCCAGTTGCCTGAGTTAAGAGACAAGCTGTAAGGAAGAGCTTACAGGAAAATGTGGGACAAAGGTTGGTGGGTACAAGTGGATAGGAAGTAAAGGTCAGATCTTGGGGTCTAGCCGGTGACAATGACAATTCCAGGGCAGAAAAAAGTCCAGTTGTCCTTTGGGTAGGCTTCAAGCACCTAGAAAAAATATCCCCAAACCAGTCATCTCTAATCCCATTTGTACAAAAATCCTGATCTATAGAAAGCTTATAAATTCTAGAGTCTTTTTCTTTCCAATATATTAAATAGTTTTGATTATTTGTTAGGGTGCCTGAGTGGCTTAGTCAGTTAAGTGTCTGCCTTCAGCTCAGGTCATGATCAGGTCCTGGGATTGAGCCCTGCATCTGGCTCCCTGCTCAGTGGGGAGTCTGCTTCTCTCTCTCTGCCTCTACCCCTTTAACCCCTGCTCATTTTTTTTTCTGTCTCTCAAATAAATAAATTAAATATTTTAAAAAGTAGTTTTGATTATTTGCAAATGTAATCTTTACCAAAATATTCCCTCTATGCTCTCTTTAGGTTTATTCATTTATCCAACAGTATTAATGGAGTAGATACTATGTGTCAGACATGGGGTGGGTGTTATGTAAATCACCTGGTTAGATGTCTCAAAGGTCCTTTCAGACTCTAAGGTGGAAACTTCACATGGAGGCAGATGCAAAAATTGAGGAAAATGAAAGGCAACTTCTTACACTAAACATCTGAAAATGAGGGACACCTTGGTGACTCAATGGTTGAGCATCTGCCTTTGGCTAGGGTCATGGTCCCCTGGTCCTGGTATGAAGTTCCATATCTGAGCCCTCTGCAGGGAGCTTGCCTCTTCCTCTGCTTATGTCTCTGCTTCTCTATCTCTGTCTCTCATAGATAGACAAATTTAAATAGATAAATTTAAAAAATCTTTGAAAATGAAAAATTCTTTAAATATTAGTTCATTAGGGGGAGCCTGGGTGGCTCAATCAGTTGAGCATCCAGTTCCTTCCAATTCCACTCTTGGTTTCAGCTCAGATCATGATCTCAGGGTTGTGAGATTGAGCCCTGTGTGGGCTCCAGGCTCAGTGAGGAATCTGCTTGAGATTCTCTCTCTCCCCCCCTCTGCCCTGCCCCCTGATCACATGTGTGCTCTCTCTCTCTCTCTCTCAAATAAATAAATAAAATATTTTTAAAAATATATAAATAAATATTAGTTTGCTAGGCCATCTAACAACTCACAGTGATTGGAACATTTGTTTCTTACTGACTGAAATAGCAGATCCAACTCCAAAAACACTTATGTAATGGTCCATGACAGTAAAAGATTTCTTCCCGTAAGCAACTTAAGAAAACTAATCAAATGTCATGCTGAAAAATATATAAAATAAAAAGATATCAGTAAAGTTAAAGGCTCTAAAATATCAGGTTAAGTATCTCCTTAAAAATCCCTACCCTATGATCCTGCTTTCCCTTCATTGTGTCAAAATAAGTTTACCATTTGTGAAGTAGTTTAGGTCTACTTAAGTACTTCCTGTTACCAGAGAGATTGGTTGTTGAATGATTTTTTTTTTTTTTTTAAGATTTTAATGAGAGAAGCAGACACATAGGCAGAGGGAGAAGCAGTGTCTCTGTGGGGAGCTGGATGCGGGACTAGATTCCTGGACCCCGGGATCATGACCTGAGCCAGAGGCAGATGGTCAACCAGGGAGCCACCCAGACTCCTCACTGAGCCTGGAGCCCACAAGGGGTCAATCTCACAACCCTGAGATCATGATCTCAGCTGAAACCAAGAGTGGAATTGGATGCTCAATTCCAAACCAGCCACCCTGATTGTTGAATAATTAACTCAGAAAACAACTTTGGTCTGGTAAAGGGAGTGGAAAACAATTTTTATCATTTATGTGAAGTTAACACAGTTAACATTATTTGCATGTTGGTAGAACACAGGAGTCATAAAACTATCTTTTTCAAGTTTTTGTTATATTGTTGGTTCATTTGCTAAATTTTCTAGGAATAACAAATTTTGAAAGTACTTAAATTCTGATAATTTTGTGCTGGTGAATGTATAGAAACTGTGACATGCATGTATTGATAGTACAACTATATTGGCTACTAAGTTAAGTTTTGTTGAAAAACCAGGACCATGTTTTGCAGGAAGGAAAACAAATATTACTTTATTTTTGAACCAAATATAAAGCCCTGAATGCTTTCCATAAGAAAATCATTCAGTGTAAAATATACAGTGACCACAAACAGGAAATTTGCCAACTAACAATTTGTATATGTATTTGGTTTCCTTATGTGTTCAAAACTCAACTAAGTAGATTTGAAGATCTAATTAACTTTATCATATAGTTAATGAAATGGCCAGCATCCCATCTAGGAGCTCTAAGGAGTGGCACAAAAATGGAACTTTTTTATAGGAAGGACAGTAGGGCAAGAAAGTTACTAGCAAAAGAAATGTTCCAGGCAAGGTCACTTTCCCTTAAGGAAAAAACAGGGGGTCTTATCATTTAAATTACCTCATCTTCCTTTGGGGAATGGAGAGGGCCCATGTGACAGATTACTTCATTGGCACTGATAATAAAAGTCCAGATTGACTGGTTAAGTCACTTTGGGGAGAGGTCAATATAGTGTATGTAGATACCATTTTTAGTTAAATTGTCAAAGAGTTTTTTCAGTGCTATGGTGAGTAATTTTTCAGGAATCTAGATAGATGTGAATCAGATATTACGGTCCTATCAAATTAGAAGATAAACTTCAAATTTTGGGGGGAAAAAACCTCAGGGCAAATTTGTGATAATGGTGCTAAATATCTTTTAAGTATAATGTTGTCATCGCAAAATTGTTGTACCTTAGAATTGTCCTACGGCTTTTTAATCATTCTTTATGAAAAAGCCATTCCTTCCCATTTGTTAAAAAGTAAGATTTATTTAAACTCGGTATTCTAGAAACTGGAAAGAATTACATTTCTGGCTAGTACAATAAATGATACAGAGTTGCTCTTTATTTTCCATTAGAAAAGTATTTAGATATTTCTTGGTTAAAAAAAGTTTATTGAGAAAAATTGCCAAGTCCACATTTCTTTTTTAAGATTTTTAAAATTAATTTGAGAGAGAGAGAGAGAGAGAGAGAGAGAGAGAGAGAGAGAGCAAAGTAGGTAAAGTAGCAGGGAGAGGGGAACAGCAGACTCCCCACTGAGCAGAGATCCTGATGAGGGGTTGGATTCCAGGGCCCTGAGATCATGACTTGAGCTGAAGTCAGAGGTTTAACCAGCTGAGCTACCAAGGCACCTCTAAATCCACAATTCTAATGGATATTTATCACTTTGCTTCTCTGAATCAAAATCACTGGAAATTAGTCTCTCTGAACTTAACAGCTTCAAGCTAATGCAAAAAGAAAAAGTACAACAAATAGACCAGATTCTATCTGGTCTCTGGGTTAGATATGCGCATAAAAATCAGCTACTTTCCGGGCATCTGGGTGACTCAGTGGTTGAGCTTCTGCCTTTGGCTCAGGTCGTGATCCCAGGGTTATCGGATTGAGTCCTTCACTGGGCTCCCGGCAGGGGGCTTGCTTCTCCCTCTGCCTGTGTCTCTGCCTCTCTCTGTGTCTCTAATAAATAAATAGAATCTTTAAAAAAAAAAATCTGCTGTTGGCAACTATTACATCACTTCTGAAGCTCGTTTGCTTCTCCTTTCAGAATGGACTCAATGCTCTCCACCTGGCGGCCAAGGAGGGCCACGTGGGCCTGGTTCAGGAGCTGCTGGGAAGAGGGTCCTCAGTGGATTCTGCTACTAAGGTAATCGTTCATGCCGGTAGAATTTATTTCCTTGGAAAAGAGGAATGATTTATTTAAAGTTGCTTTCTCTGGTTATGCTTTGCAGAGGTTTGCTGGAACACCAAGATTCTTGACAATGCAGAACTGAAATTGAGACTCCTCTAAACTTTGCAGAGTTTGAATTGCTTCATTTAGGGCTTTATCAAACATGAGACAGAAGAATCTTTGTACCTGGTTTCTAATATTTTGTCCTTTTTTCCTTTGGTTCACAGAGAGAATAGATTAATATAATCCTCTATAGACAATAGCACCTCTTTTCCTAAGGTCAATTCATTTAAAAAAATAAACTGATGTAGTGAACTTCTTAGTTGAAATGGGCAAGTATTTTTCATGTTTTAAGCTTTTATATCTTTTAATGTATTCACTTAACTTGGTAAGAGAATATACAGAATCTTTTATATTGTAATGGAAAGGAGATTTTGGATCATGGATTGAATTATTGGGAAAATTTGATTTTGCCACTGTAATGTGTATTTGTACAGAGAAATTGGACTCATTTTTAAAGAAAAGTACCAGATGTTTGGTTTGCCAGAAACTATTGGCTTTTTTGTTGTTGTTGATATTCCTTTTACTAAAGTAAATTTGAACCTTGTCTTTGGGGAGTCATTTCAGAAACAACAGATATATTTTTAAAATATCATCAGAGGCAACAAATATTTGTCTTTAGAGGGGTAATTTTAATTTGGAGAAAAACAGTAGCCAGTGAGAATCAAGCCTGTTACCCAGGGCTGGAATGTGATTTATGGTTGTGAGAGAAGCAGAGAGGCTGCAGGCCCTATAGCCTCCAACTGGAGATTATTTTGATCAGGGATACACAAAAAGAATGCTGGAATAAGTTAGGAATATGGCCAGGTAACCTGGATTTCTAACACCTCATGCATGCATAATTGTCTAAATGTAGACAGGCCCTGCTCATGATATTCAGCAATTCTAGTGGAAATTTAAAAACAAAACCAAAAGCTCTCTGGCAATTGCAAAGAAAAATTAAAATACAAGTTTACTATAGGCAATAAATTGTCACACATCTGCATGTGCACACGAATCCCAAATTTGATTCAATAAGAAATCAGTCTTTTTATGTTCTTAAACACCTCACCAGAATTATGAAGGCTAGAAAAGGAAAACACTATATGGGAGGCTCAGTGTTTTGATGGCAGACAATTATCCCTTCCCGATGTAGGCCACTATACTGATAGAATGACAGGCTTTAACCACTTGAAGTAATTAGCAAAATTGAAAATGCCTGTACATTTGATTTCTACAAAATTTGGAAACCTCTAAGATTTTCTATTTTGTTTCTCTGAAACAGAAGGGAAACACTGCTCTTCACATTGCGTCTTTGGCTGGACAAGCGGAAGTTGTCAAAGTTCTTGTTAAGGAAGGAGCCAATATTAACGCTCAGTCTCAGGTATTACATTCAGATTTTCTCTTGTGTAAATGAATTCAAATTATTTTTTAAAAAAGATCTTATTTATGTATTCATGAGAGACACACAGAGAGAGGCAGAGACAAAGGCAGAGGGAGAAGCAGGCTCCCTCTTGGGAGCCCAGTATGGGATTGATGCTCAACCATTGAGCCACTCAGGTGCCCCAAATGAATTCAAATTAGAACAGCTATGTGAAACTGATTTAATGGGGTTAGCCAGTTGTTGGGTAGATAAGTTTACTATAAATATTTTCTGTTATTTATTTCAGCCAATTATTTTATTAACTCATGCTGTGGTATTTCTTATTTTTTTTGATGTATCATGATCTCCCTCTTAATATAACTGAAAATTTGACAACTGTGGTCTCTCATTTGCTTTAAGTGCATTAAAAAAGAATATAAAGTGGTTTCTTTCCAGAATGACAGTGACATCTGTGAAATATGAATTATTCATGAAAGTTCTGCGTTGCGCTATAAAAGTATTTTCTCTCCTTAAGTTTTAAAAATTCTCAGAAGATTAGCATTCCAGTAGGAAATCTGCTATGGAGTGGGAATCACACTAATTACCTCACACCCCAAATATGGACTTTACAAAACTCCTGAAGGAAACAGGAAAATTCGTGACCCGCAGCCTATGATGCATATAATAACAATAAAGTAGATCCTGATTTCTTGAGTGAAAACTATTACTTTGCCCAAAGCTCTACTCTTGGTATCTATTCTGTATCTGTGTAGAAACTGAGGTGCATATCTTTATAAATCCATTTATTTTCTCTCTTTTTAAAAGATTCTAGCCTTCTTTATATCACAGGCCATGCCATGGGGACTACTGGCAAAATAAACCAGTTCCTCTCTATCTATTCTTTGGGATAATCTTACCAGTTTGTTTTTGAAGGCCTTTGTGTAGGAATAGTTCTACTGATTTTGTTCATTCATTCATCATGCAGACATGGTAGAAATGGAACTCTAGGGCATAAATGGAACAAGTGCTGGATCCAGAAAATACTATAGGGCAAAAGTTGGAATCAGCCCTATTTTCTTTGACTGATTATATGGAAGAACCTGTTGAAATTATGACAGACATTATTTACTTTTATTTCTGGAATAGCATACTGTTTTAAATAACCACATTTTTCTTTTAAAACCCAAATAACATATCTCTACTTCCACACTGATTGAGAATATGCCATATTCTAAAATCTTATTAAATGAAAAAATTTTTAAAAATGGTACCATCTGTAAAGAATTCCCATATAGTCTATAAAGTATAATGGCATCTTGGGGCTAGTGACAGGATTTGACAATCTTCTGCTCTAAAGTAAGGGCTTAACACCTTTCCTTTATGATAGCTGAGAACATCTTGTTGCTCTAGAGCAAAAGTTCTCAAACTTTAGCTGGCATCTTAATCACCTGCAGGGCTTGTTGAAACACATGATTCTAGCCCCAGCCTCAGAGTTTCTGATTCAGTTCTGGAATGGGACCCGAGAATTTTCATTCCTCACAAGTTCTCATGTAACGCTGACATTGCTGGTTCAGGAACACTTTGCGAACCACTGCTTTAGAGAATGTAAGAGAAAACTGGGCATAAGAACCTTGCAGTGAGATTCACCTAGTATGGATTTAACAACGTGCATAAATCAATAGTTTGTGTACTTAAGGTGTGTGGAAATGAAAGCCTGGTCAAGTGCAATTGCCCATAGGAGGTTTCTTTTAATGGAAAGTTCATACGCTGTTAGGGCTGTTAGTATCTATAAAAAGCACTTAGTTACTTTTCTCAGAATGATCAGTTGAACATTGTGATTTCATAAAAGTTGACAGGTAGCAAATACTGCAAGATAAATGCTTGTTAAAAGTTATAGCAGTTATTGTACTGTGATTATTGGAAATTTATATGCTTTGGGGATTTTTCAAGAAGAGCAGGCTCAAACAATTTAATTGGTAATTGGTTTCAAGAGTCAATGAGCCCATTCTTTATAGTCATAATCACACCAGATTATAATAGATCCTACAGGAAGATTTGTATTGTCATTAAGAGATTAAAATAATCTTTATTTGTGTTATACTTAATGAGCTCAATTGAAGATTCATATTGTAGGGAATTCTGACAAATAGCTTCAAACTGATTTTATTTTGTGAAAAGGTTTTAGAATGAGAAAAATTAATAAATAAAATTTATGATGTTTTTCTAAATGATTAAGTGATTTGATAAGCCCCACGACATTATTTATTATATTGAATTTGGGTGGCTTTCACTACCAATTAACAAAAATTACTATTATTTAAAATATAACTTAATGATTGAAATTAAAATACAGGAATTTATATAAAAGAGGTTGATTATTTTGTTCCTATGTGTGAACAAATCCGAAAGGTATGGTTTCAAGGGCCATAAGAGAGGATATGAGTCCTTCATACCTCATTCTCATTAGTCTTATCTTATTTAAGGTACAGATTTCTTACATCGTGACAGCTGACTTCAGGTTGATGGGTAGGACCATGCTCATGGTAGATAGTCATTTCCTTTTGAGAATCAGAAAAGTGGCATAGGAATGCCAAATGCTCAAGATAAATTCTGAGTTATACTCAAATTGCACCTTCTATACAATATCTTTCCAAGAACACAATGCAAGGCAAATGCAGGATAGTCTGTTACTATAGGAACGTTGATATCTGCCTAATAATTAGCCTTTGACAAACTTCTGAGTTATTTGGAAATGGACCACTAAGGTTATTGTTGAATTAAGAAGATAAAATCTCTCTGAAAAGCTCCAAGGAATAAATGTTCAGAAGTAGTTACAGGACTCATAGGTTATGGAGAGGTATACATCTGTGGATTTTTCTGCATTCTTTACCTAAACTATAAAATCCATGTGAGGCTTACCTTCACATGACACAGTGCCGATTATGGTAGTCGGTGTCCTTAATCATGAAGACTTCCAGGATGCCAGCAGAACCAATTTAAGTATTTTAAGCAGAATTATGTGATCAGTGTAATAACCATCCACCAGTGTTTAAGTTTCTGTGCTCATCAGTGGTGGCAGTGTGGTCTCTACTGAGTCCGTTCTTGGTATGATTTTAAATATTGCTCAGACAGTGTAGCTCTCTGTCTTGGTTCTTTGCTCTCCTGGATTTGGTGGCATGGAGATCTCATTTAGACCTCAGTGAGAGCCTTTTTCGTAGAATAATGCGGCTGAAAGTCAAATTAGAGTGGTTGGAGGAATGCTATTTGCCTTGAGGATGGTTCCTTGCTTTCTGAAAACACAGGTACTTTCAGACAAGCTTTACTAGTCATATTAACATCTTCTAAACTGTCCTACATAAGTAATGCTGGATGCTATTACGTACTTCTGGCTATTGGTACTGCCATTCATTTGTCACTTTTATGATATATAAGCCTATTAGACTCAGGGATGCAACTTTTATTTTTATTTATTTTTAAAGGATTTTACTTATTTATTTTAGAGAGAGAGTACCTGAGTGCGAGGTAGGGCAGGGTGGAGCCCATCATGGGGCTGGATCTCACACAGGACCCTGAGATCGTGACCTGAGCCAAAACCAAGGGTCGGACATTTAACCAACTGAGCCACCCAGATGCCCCAGAGATACGATTTTTTAAAAAAAATCATTCCAATTATATATTATAAAAGAAATTTTGAAAAAAAAATTAAAAAGACTCTCAGGATTTAAAGGATGAGTTCCTTTAAATTTTTGTAGTACTTTTTACCCTTTGATACTTGCCTATCTCATGAGGTTTATTTTTTGTAATATATATATATATATATATATATATATATATATATATATATGCAGTTTCTGCAAGGTGGTAAATTTCTTGGGAGCAGATATTTTTTTCTCACATTTCTTTATATTTTTAGGATTTGACATAATACCTTGCACACATATGCATGTCTAACAATAAGCTTTGTTGTATATTCCAATCATTCTTAGCAGTAGATGTTAATAATAGTACAATAAATAATACTGACTGCCAGGCACTATATCTAGTAAATTGTGTACATTATGTCTGCATCTTCATTTACTCTGTCCTTATCGATGACAGACTGAGACAAAGATGATTCATTTACTCACTCAATCTTTATCCCTGGGCAAAGCTCCTCTTATAGTTCCCATAACAGTTTTATGTTCACTACAGACTCCACAGAATAGCTTTTATAATTCTTTTTTTTCTTCTGGCCCAAACCCTATTAAGGTCTAGGTAAGTAGATTTTCCTGAGGTAGCCTCCATGCAAAAGATTTAAGGTGAAAATTTTCCCTTTAGTATATTTTGTGAACTATAAATGCTATAGCTCTGCAAAAAATGTTCAAAACATTAAGAGATTTTGTTGTTGCTGCCAAAGAAATTTGACCTGAGAAATTTCCCCTATTTAATTTTCTCTACAACAAAATGTGACTTTTTGTTTCTCACACAAGGGTATTTTTCCTTTAGATTTTTATTATATTTTCTTATGTAAAATCATTAAAATTAAAATGTCTCTTGTAATAAAAAGTTACTTTAAAAATATCTATTTACTGTTTTGTTTTTACATAACAAGCTGGTTTATGTGATGCATATTTGACTATAATAATTTAAAGAGCACACTGGATTCTAGAATATGTAATATCTCCATGCAGCAGAAACTAAGTGAAATTGTAAAATGTGGGTAGAGTAAAACCTGCGGTCAACTGTATAAGGTTTTTTACCTTATACAGTGGGGCCTGGGATGTTTGAGTTCTCTGGTAGTGAAAGTAAAATGAGATTTCATTAGGAGAAAGGGTGGGCCAGAAAGTCCCACAAGACTCTTTAAGAAGTATGTGGAAGAATGTGTCCAGGGAGCTAAGCGTAGGTTAGAATAGAGTCTAGATGCCACAAAATTGCAATCCCTTTTTTTTTTAATTGCAATCCTATAGTAATACCTTACACTCAGCCTCTCAATTTTAAAGTTTACTTTTTATTATTTAATCTCATTTTATCTTTACAATGAT